CCCCCCCCCCCCCCCCCCCTTTTTTTTTTTTCTTTCTTTCTTTTCTTATTCTCTGAAGCGATTTCCTTCATGCTTGCGTTCGCTCGCCAAGCCATCTGATGGTCGAGGTGAGGCGCGGCAGGGAGCGGCCGCGCGGAAATGAACGGAGTGGAAATGATGCGGAGGTTAAAGAAACACGGCGGGTGGGGAAAAATGCGCTTTTCTGTTGTGAGCCTCTGTTTCGCTTACCCAAATGCAGATAAAGGTGTAGTTGGAACGCATTTCTCAGAATCACAGAATGGCCGGGGTTGGAAGGGACCTCAAGGATCACGAATCTCCAACCCCCTGCCACACGTAGGGCCACCAACCTCCACATGTCGTACCAGACCAGGCTGCCCAGGGCCCCATCCAGTCTGCCCTTGAACACCTCCAGGGATGGGGCATCCACAACCTCTCTGGGCAGCCTGTTCCAGCACCTCACCACTCTAATAGTAAATTTTGTTCCTCCTTAAAGAGGCACTGAACGAAACTTCCTGCGGCAAATGCTCTGGTGCTGCTCTTTGTGACGGCACGTGATAATCATTTAACCTTTTTTTCCTGGTTGTGTGTCAATGGCTTATTGGTCTCAAGGGCCAGCAGGAGGAAGTCCTTGCCCAGTTGGAATCTTACGGGTTGCCTGCAGAACTCTGGAGGGGTGCTGTGTGGGAGAGGAGAGCTCCTGTGAGGGCAGCCTGGGTTGGGTCAGCAGGGTGTGCCGGGTGCTTCTCAAAGGGAATGCATCTATCCACAAACACAGTTATCAAACAATAGGTATAAATTTGGCAAGCCTTTCTTTACTTCTGTATGTTTATTACATAATTATTTTGCAAGCTAGCGAATAGTTCTGAGGTTATTTTATAGTGCAGAAGAAACTTGTTTTTTTTCTTTTCTTTGACCCTATTTAAAGCTGCAGTAGTCCTAGTTGTGAAATGAATACTGGCTGGGTATTTTACTTTGTGTTTATTAATTTTTACTGCAGAATAGAATGTATGTAAAATGGTCTGTGCAAGAGATGTGGTAACTGTCATTGCCATGGATGTTGTGAAGATGTTTTGCATTTTATACTTTGCTAAATGGTACGTTATGTGAGGATGATCGTCACCGTAAGCATTCTGTTTGTAAATGGCAAGCAGGCAGAAATTTTAAGTCTCAGAACGTTCTGTGATAGCCCTGGCTTCCTCGAAGTCACTCACTCTTTACTCTTTTTAACATCTTTGCAGCTAACTTTTCTGAACAAGTAGTTGAAAGCTTTCCATCTGATATCTCTACTGGTATATACTATGGATGGGCCTGTGTTGGAAGTGGAGATGTGCATAAAATGGTTTTGAGCATAGGATGGAATCCGTTCTATAAGAATACTAAGAAATCAGTGGTAAGAACTTTAATTTGTGTGGCGCTTTTAATTATAACGAATGAGGCAGATGTTGGTTTTAAACATGTGACCCGTAAATGATACCTAGAAATTACGTTTGCTCTTAGAAATGCGTTTGGTATCAAACACATATCAGCATCTTGTGTTTGTATTCTGAAAAGGAAATAGTCTGAATAGCCAGAGAGTATATAGCTCTAAATAAATAACATTTATTTTTTGTCCTATTCCGTCATTGCTTGGATATTTCTAAGATCAGAATTTAACTATTTCTGAAATGGTGATTGCTTCTGGTGCAGATCCTCCTCTTCAGTAACAGAATCCAGAGATGTGGTGCTGTGTCTTGATATAATAAATTAATATTCAGAACTGCATAATAGTAGGACGGGGAATTAAAATGTGGAACTCTGTTGGTTGTGTTTTTCTTGTTGTTAGGTCCCTGGTGCTTCTTCCAGTTCTTGCAGAGCTCTTAATTGTTGAACACTTTTATTTGGGCAAGAGTCTCTGGAGTGGTGCTTAGCCTTACCAACAAACATACTCTAAATTTTTTGCAACCACTTTTTATGCGCGAGGTGTGGGATGGGGAGTCCTTTCCCAGCCTTTGCTCCTGGAATTCTGTTATTTAGTTCCCAGAATCTTATCATTTAGAGCTGGTTGTAAAAGCTGTCCATAAGTCAGCTATTTCAATTTCAGGTCTCCATAGTTCTTTCATCAACTTGATGATGAAGCATTAAGCTTTCTTTGTGATTTAGAATAGTATCACAGAATCATAGAATCGTCTGGGTTGAAAAGGTCTACAATTATCATCTGGTTTCAACCCCCCTGCTATGTGCAGGGTCACCAACCACTAGACCAGGCTGCCCAGAGCCACATCCAGCCTGGCCTTGACCCCCTCCAAGGATGGGACATCCACAATCTCCTTGGGCAACCTGTTCCAGTTTTTTTTGGCTGCTTTGCAAATACTATTTGCTGCTTTGGAAATACTAACACTGGGAAGTGGTGAGAAATCGTGGCTTTTCAATTACTATCTTCTTAATTTGGCAATCAGAAAATCTTAGGTGAATATTTTATAAATCCCATGCAAAGTACAATTCTCCTTCTTTAAAAAAAA